TTTTGCCGCATTTAAACGACAATTTACCCATCGCACCCTATATATATATATATATATATATATATATATATATATATATATATATATATAAAAATTTATATCAGAATTGTGGCCTCGTGTTTTTCTCTTTCGTTTTTGTTGTTGACGTTTTAAAAAAAGTGGATATTATGGATTTTTAAAAAGATTTTAACACAGGATATCCATAAACCGAGAATCTATCGTAATATAGAAATTACATAAAAAATGGAATAAAAAAACAGTTATCGAATGGAATATTAGTAACACTTATTGAATTATAAACGGTTTTATTTGCTGTATTGATCTGCCAGTATTAGAATTCATATTGTACACCAATATTTCGAAACATGTGTCGGATGTCATCAAATTGTTGGCGAAGTTTAAAATTGTTCATAAACATAAGATGAAGCACTTTCTCATATTTCTTTATAATTTAAGAATGTTCATGAACAACAATGAATGAGTTGACTGAGTGCTTCGTCTTTTACGTCTTATCAACCCTTTGCAGTTTATTTAAAGCCAGAAAACATTTTTAGATTATAAGAATTTTGGCTCGGTGGGGGAGTGATACAAGTCTTTTATTATTTTAGTGCTTAATAAATTAAGTTTTTTTCTTGTCTGCAAATTAACAATTTTATTGCTCAATCTAGGATAGGGGTTGACCAGACTGAAGTGTAGGCATATGTATTATTACAGTGTCTTATTTAAAACTTGGTTAACTCCTGTGTACATGTGTGCATGTTGGTTGGTTCGTTTTTTACGGCTTATCAACCCTTTGCAGATTATTTAAACCCAGAAATAATTTTTTCGGTTGTAATTTTTTTTGTGGTGTGTATGGGTGGGGGATAATCTGGAGGGATAAGAGGTGGATTCATACCTTTTCCAAGGGTATCTGCGTGTAAACGAATATAACGAACCCAACAGGAATTGGAACTCTGATCTCTGATTAACCATTCTGAGCCATTATCCATTACACCACTCGCACATCCAAGCTTACAACACCTGCTATTCTTAAGCGGTTACCCATGTAGGTACCAACCAGGCTCAACGTTGCTTAAGGTAAGCGTATCTAAATGCGAGATTAAAGAACTGTTTTTTTCATTTCTGTGTGTGGTATGATAGCGTTCGTTTCTTTTTTTTTTTAATTCGTGAGATCCTGTGCAAGTTGCTTGCGTTGGCCCATCGCGAGTGAATATTATCATCTCTCAGTTGCGTGTATATCTTCGGGCAGAGTGAGACTCAGTTGTGGCTCTGTCCGTGGACAGACACACAGGTGGGGAAAATAAAATCTGTGAGGTGCCCGGTACCGGGGAAACAGCTTCCGCGGCTTCACTCTCGTATTGCACGAGAGATTGGGGATCCGTAGTCATACTGAAACCAGGGTAACCTACAGTTACGGAAGCTGAGCAATTTTTGTCCTTGGATCTAGTGTGCGCGCTCGGGTTCCTCATATCAAACTCATCACATCTCGCCTCAGTGGAGAGGCTGGGGTAAATAAAACAACTATAATGCAACATTCGACTGAAGATAATGAAAAATAAATAAAATATAAGATTTGTAGAGATACCACTGAGACTTGAACTATATCAATGATTAGGAAATGGTAATGTTGCGAAGACTTTTACCGAAGACTGGATAACTGAGGTTTGCTTTGGCTTGTTTCGTTTTACGGTATATCAACCTGAATGGATTATTTAATGCCAACAACATTTTTGTTGCTGTTAATATTTTTGGTTTGCTTTGGCTTGTTTCGTTTTACGGTATATCAACCTGAATGGATTATTTAATGCCAACAACATTTTTGTTGCTGTTAATATTTTTGGTTTGGTTTGGTTTGTTTTATGACATATCAAGCTCAATGGGTTATTTAATGCCGTCAAAATTTTTATTGCTGCTAATATTTTTGGTTTAGTTTGGTTTGTTTTACGGTATATCAACCTCAATGGTTATTTAATGCCGACAAGGTTTGTATTGCTGGTAATAGTTTTTTTTCTATAATGTATTGCAACTAATATTTTTTCACAAAAAATTATTACTGTCTATATTTCTGAGATGAGGTATTATGAACATTATTTACATTATTCGGACTATTGACCTCATCTTTGTCGCCATATTTATCACAACGTTTCGGCCGTTATACGCTCCGGCCTTCATGTGAGTTCAATATCCGGTTATGGCAGTGGAGAACTTTCAGAGGGAAATTAACAGGAGATAACTGATAACTGACATTCATCAAACATAGCACGTGGAACTAGAACAGTCTACTGAAATAAAGGGTTCAGTTCGACATTGCAACCACCTGAAGAAGGTCGGAGCGTACAACGGCTGAAACGTTGTGATAAATATGGCGACAAAAATGAGGGCAATAGTCATTATCACTGGTAATATTTTTTTCCTTCAAAAATGTATTGCTTGTAAAATCTTGTTTTTTCAATAATATATTGCCTGTAATAATTTTTTACAAAAATGTATTCCTGATATTAAAACCTATTTTTACACTTTCATAGTGTTTTGGCCCCAGTTTGGGGTTAACTATTTGCCCATAGCTGGGACTCTAACAGTTGCTAACACCCCGGGTCAGCAATTAAGAGGTGTTCAACACTCCTCAAAACCTGATCAAAGGCCTTGTTGTTGGATGTAGATTATCGTCTTATCCAGGACGCGGATAACTCAGATTAATTATTGAAATTTATAGAAAACAACCAGCTCCAAACTGGGCCTTATATTTAAGAACTGATTTTAAGTGATATCCTGTTTTGCCTTCACTCAACATGGCTGATGGTAACCTCCGAGAGAGGCGATGTGCTTTCTCGGGCTAATGTTGTTTGTTGACACGAAGTGGAAAGATTATATATTTTTTTCTCTCCAGAATCTATCTTACATATTTATTCGTTTCATATTTAGTTTGCTGCTGGATATAGTTTATCGTCATACCCAGAACTACTCATTAGAAAGGTCTTACCCCTATACAGAGGTGCAGTCTACAACCCTATCCGACGAGGCGAGGGAAAATACAGGGCGTGGCATAAATATCTCCCTCATTTGAGACCGTCACTTTTGTGGTGCTTGTGAATTTAGGCAAGTGGTATTGAAGTCTGCATCTTCAGTTATCTGATGTCTTACCATTTTATTTCAGATACCATCAGTTAGCATCCTGGCTTTGACCAATCAACATTGTGTGTTTGATATTGAGACGTTTTTTTTTAAGACGAGTGAATCTGTAATTGCAACACATAGAGAGATTCTTGTGTTCATGTCAAGTTGCATCGGAATGATGCTGTTCTGCTATGGGTTAAAGATTTCAGGGACACAAGTTCATGACTTAAAAAAAAAGAAGCCATCCGGAAGATCTCGAAACGCTCGAACATCCGGGTTATGGAAAACGTTAGAAATCCTCTACAACAGTGTATGGCAAATAGAGGTCACCATTTGAACGATTTCCTTTTTCAAACCGAATGTATAAAAACTATAGCCCTTTGTCTAAACAACAGTGAAATAAATATTTTTAATAGCAGTTATCTTGTTCTTTTATCAATCTGTTATATAGGAATAAAATATCTCTGCCGACACTTGAGTGTGAACATAGATCGCCTGTGAGCAAACACAGGCGATCCCATTATTGAATTGAGTATCACGTGACCATCGGGGAAACGAATAAGTAAGAAGCCGTATGACGACTAATATCGCTATTTTTAGTCTATTTTCTATATTATTCGGATCGTTAATTATCCTCTATCCTCTATTATTACTATAGGGAACGCTATTTTCTATTCTCTTCTCTACACTACTCTCTATACGGATCACTATTTGGTGGTGACTATTCGAGCGAGTATTATCGAGCAAGTACTATTAGTGCGAATGTCATTCGAAGGCGTCTGACGCCAGCATTGCTCAACGGCGTTACTATAGTTGTATCTGTGATTACAAAGTCTCTACTACAACGAGCATTACGAAAGTGAGAACGAATATTCGTTGATATTATAAAAATGGCAACCAGTATTCGTTGATATCACAAAATATTTCTTCGTTTATTACATATTTATTCTCCAGAAACTATCTCACATATTTATTCATTAATGCTTCGAATATTGCTGCCACATATGGTCTGGTGCTCCTGCTAGAGAGATTCATCATAAAATCCAAATAAGTGTCTGCAATGTTATTGGTCCTGACCTGTCATCCCGGCTTCAGCCACTAGCGCCATAATGTAGCTTCCTTGGGCCTTTTTTTAAATAAATACTTTTGTGATAATTGTTGTGATGAACTTTCTTTTATGGCACCTAGTCTTTATGTATTCAAGCGAAGTACTAGATTGGCGGTTAGGTCTCATCCTTTTACTGGTGAATTGGTTAGATGCAACCGTAAGTTCTATGCGAACAGTTTCTTCTTTTGCTGTATTCGTTTGTGGAACACACTTCCATCTCCAGTGTGTGTGTGTGTGCGTGTGTATGTCTGTGTGTTGGTTTGTGTGTCTCTGTGTCTTTGTTTCGGTGTGTGTTCATTTGTGTTTCTCTGTCCGTGCCTCTCTGTGTGTGTCTGTACCTATGTCCCTGTGTGTGTCTATGTCTGTGTGTGCGTGTGAGTCTGTGTGTGTGTCTGTGTGTATGTGTCTGTGTCTCTGTGTCTGTGTGTGTGTGTGTGTGTGTGTGTGCGTGTCTGTGCATGTGTGTGTCGAAGTGAACGGAAATTTAGAAAAATCGCACATCACGATATTCCAACAAAGACATAATCAAAATAGATTCTCTAGCATCTACTACTACTATATGCCCTCTCCCTTTATTTCTTTGCTGATCATGGCTCTCCACAACGTCCTCTCCAATTTGAGTTCTTACTAAGGTTTGTCTTCACGCTATCCCACCTAATCCCTGTTGTGGGCACCATGTATACAAGGTCGTTATTCGACGCTTTTCTCTGTCCATTTTGCCTTCGATATTTTCTTGTGGGTGATAAATTTCCCAGGCCTTGTTCCTTATTATGTAGCTGGCTGCTACATCACATTGAAATTACGGTTTGCCGTACGATCACTAAAGTTAAGCAACGTCAAGCCTGGTCAGTACCGAGTTGAGTCACCGCTTGGGAATACCAGGTGTTCCAAGCATGGATGTGCGGGTGGTGTAATAGATAATGGTTGGGAATTTTGAATCGAGTTCCATTTCCAGTTGGTTTCTTTATAGTGCTTTCACACAAATACCCTTGGAAGTTGGTATGTAACCACCTCTTCTCCACACCTATGGATTAATTAGTAAGATTTTTATCAATAAATGCAATGGCAATTGTTCAAATGATCTTTCCTTTATGGCACCTCGACTTTATGAATTTAAACCTTTACCATGTTGTAGACAAAAATTGTCGCCATAGTATTCTCTACCTTTGCTGTTTTAAACCCACGTTAATTTCTTTGTTTTCTTTTTTGTAAACAAATATGGCCGCATCAGTATCCAACAAAGACTTTATTTGAGGAGTTTTTATTTGATTACGACTCTGATGATGATTTTGAAGGCTTTACTCGGGTGGATATTGACGGTGAAATGGTCGAAGATGATAACCCCGATGGAAGAAAGCCATGATGACCACTAGCGGATACTATCATCCATCCCTGACTTTTATGGAAGTTACTGGCGACCATCGATATACCTGATAGCCTTTCTGAAAGGGAATTATTTTGTCTATTTAGAAACGATAAAATAATAACTTTATTCATCAAAGAGACAAATAAATACGAGACAGGTGGAAGAAAGAGCGAACACATGCTTGTGTCTTCTCGTATGCAAACACGAGGAAAGCGGTCACTTTTTTGAAGAAATGAAAGCATTCTTAGCGATTTTGCTTCTTATGGCCCCCCGAACTCCACAAGGAGTAAGAAAAGTTATTTATGTATTTTTTTAATGTATTTGATTTTTATTTCGTACTTTTTATTCCGCGTTTCCGTTTTTTGTTTTCGACGTCAAAACATGCATGCAAAACGTAATGCATTATACGATGCATTACATCAAAATGTTACTCATCCATTCTTTTATTAGTGTACAAAAATCTATATGCACAATACAAAGAAAGTTATAACAATTTTAAAACAGTAAGTATTCATGATTTTGTACCCTCAAAAAATGCAGCGGCAGAGAAAGAAATTAGCATGGTAAAGGTTAACTGATAGCTGGGGGATTGGGGAGATGTTGATTCATGCCTTTCCCAAGGGTATTTGCCCAAAAATGAATATAACGAACCTGATTGGAATTAGAACTCAAACTCTAATTCCAATCTGTTATTCATTACATCCAAGCTTACAGTACCTGCTATTTCCAAGCAATCACCCATCTAGATACTGATCAGACTCAATGTTGCTTAACTGCGGAAATCAAAGGAGAACTGGTGTTTCGGTGTGATAGGGCCCTAAGTTTTTTTTTATTTCGAGTTTCAGTTCTTTATGCTTTCAACATCAAAACATGCATGCACAACGTAATTCATTACATCAAAATATTACACATTCATCCTTTTATTAGTGTACAAAAATTAAAATCTATATGCACAATGCAAAGAAAGTTATAACAATTTTAAAACACTAGGTGTTCATGTTTTTGCACCCTCAAAAAAAAAAAAAAAGATGCAATGTCAGGGAAGACATCTCTAGAAAGAAACTAGCGTGTTAAAGATTAAACGAACAACTAGATTGGCGGTTAGGTCTCATCATTTAACAGTTGACTTGGTTAGATGTAACAGTAAGTTCTATGCACAGATTTTCTTCGACCGCACATATCGCCTATGGGATTATCTTCTGGTTTTATGCTTTATAGTAAATGTTTATGTTCAAAAATTTAAATACAATGCCAATCGCTATGTACTGTCTTCTTGATTCCTCTTCTTTTATTATTCTCGTTTCTCAATACTGTTTTACTTTTTCTTATTCTTTCACATTCAGTAACCCACTGTGTCTTAAATGGTTTAATGTTTTGCTTGGTTTGGTTGTTTGGTTGATTTTGTTTAGCGGCATGTCAGCATTTGTGGCTTAATTAAGGCCGAAATCTGAATATTTTGAACACAATTTTATGGTTTCAATCAAATATATTTTGAATATAAATGTATTGTTTGTTATTTTTCTATAAAATGTATTGCCGGTAATTTTACTATAAAATGTTGTCGTAACCTAGAAAGGGTTACTGAATAACGAATAACCGAAACTGAGGTTGGAAATGAAATGATAAGCTTTATATCATCAACAAAATACAATACTCGCCAGCGGCGTGGAGTAGGTAAACAACTGCTAATGGTGGACTATTAGACAGCATATTACCCCTACTTAGAATTGTGTCCAACGTATTTATGAGGATTGGGACATACCCATTAGGGTTCATAAATATGGTAGATAACACTATCTTTTGAATCTATTTTCTTTCTATCGATGTATCTATCCCAGTCTGTTCATATCTATCTATCCAGCTAGTTATCTATCTATCTATCTATCTATCTATCTATCTATCTATCTATCTATCTATTGTAACCTAGAAAGGGTTACTGAATGTGGAATAACCAAAACGGAGGTTGGAAATGAAATGGTAATCTTTATAATATCAACAAAATAAAATACTCGCCAGCGGCGTGAAGTAGGTAAACCACTGCTAGGGGTGCACTACTTAGAAAGCATATCAGCCCCGCTTACAATAGTGTCCAACGTATTTATGAGAATTGGGACATACCCACGTGTGTTCATAGACATGGTATATAACACTATCTATTTCAATCTTTTTTCTTTCTATCGATGTATCTATCCCAGTCCGTTCATATCTCTCTATTTAACGAGCTAGCAAGTTAGCAACCTATCTACCTATGTTCAGATCTATCTATCTATCTATCTATCTATCTATCTATCTATCTATCTATCTATCTATCTATGTTTGTTTATATCTACACACACACACACACAACACACACACACACATATATATATATATATATATATATATATATATATATATATATATATATATATATATCAATGACCAAAAAGAATACTCGCCAGCGGCGTGAAGTAGGTAAACCACTTCTAGTGGTGGACTACATAGTATATTACCCACACTTACAATGTCCAAAATATTTATGAGGATTGGTACATAACCATTTGTGTTAATAGATACGGTATATCACAAATGTATTTCTGATTATTCTACTATAAAATTTATAATGTATTGCTGTTTATTTTACTAAAGATTGATATTGTTGGTAATTTTACTGTCAATAAGTATTGTTGAAATTTTAATGTATAAAATTATGTTGCTGATATTTTTACTCTCAAAATATATTTTTATTCTTACAGAGTGATTTGTTATTATTTGTGGGTTCACTTTTTTGCCCATAGCTGAGACCCTAACAGGTGCTACAACCCCGGATAAGGGTGAACCTTGGAACAACAGCGATTAAGAGGTGGTTCGACGTTCACAACCTCCAATCTCCCGATTTTGTTTTGCTTGGGATGAAATGATTAAAAAAATATGGATTAAATCTATATTTTGTTAATTTTTTACTCGGCATTTCAAGATGGGTGAAAACATTATGATTATCATTTAAATTTTCTAAACAATATCGTCTGAAAATATCATAAAATGAAGCGTCTTTTTTAATATATATATATATATATATATACATATATATATCGCTATATATATATATATATATATATCGCTAAAATTCACCTTCATCCTTGCTGACGACGTAGTGGTAGAATCTCTGACTGACACCAATTCAATCGGGTTTCGATCCTAGCTACAGGCAACCGGATGTCTAGCCACACTGAAGAGCTACCAAACAGTCTTTCTGTGTATAAAATGATAAAAATATAGCTTTTATGTATGTTATAATTATGTATAAGAGATAGAGCGTGTGTAAATATAAAAGTGGATACTAATTTCAACACCGATTTCGGCGGTCTTTTTTATACTAAGACAGAATCTTCAGGTCATTTGTGTTTTGTGGTGGCTCGTTATTTATATATGCCGGTCAGTGAAGCATTATGGGTAGCAATATCAAGTATTTCCGGATGATTTTATTATCCTAACGGTTATTAGGTAAACGGCATTGGTTATATTTGACATTATTCAAGGGGTTATTGATTAGAAATAAGTGTGGGTTGGAAAACGCATACTTACGAAGAATGGTTATTTCCACTATATATTTATATATATATATATATATGAAGAAATATAGTTTTAAGGTGTGTTATATTTATGGGATAAAGTGCTCAATATCAGAGATAGAGCGTATGTAAATATAAATATAAAAGTGAACATTGAAGTCAACACTCAGAGGCGACAGGCTGTTTCATGCTGGACGCAATATGAAACAGCTTGTCGCCTCTGAGTGTTGACTTCAATGTTCACTTTTATATATATATATACACACACACACACACACACACACACACATATATATATATATATATACCATTGTGAGCAGTCAAGTGGAGAAATATGATGACAAGCCTTTCAAACTTTCCTAATTATGTACCCTAATTATTTTATATTCAATGCGAAACAAAAGGACGATAAAATATTCCCCAAAACACAAAAGGGTCTCTACTGACAAACTCAATGAATCCAAAAATATATTGTCCTACCAATAATTCTATCAGATCTACAACCTAAAAGATTCTAAACTCAACATAAAAACTGTTACTACTACATCCAAAACAATAAAAGACTTAGTCAATATTAAACAAAACAATAAGCTGAAACCTGAAGCGATTAACGATGTCAAAGATAGTATGTAGCCAAAAATGGTGACAGTCAATACCATATTTAGAGAAAGGACATTTAAGGAAAGCAGTGTAAACTATAAAGTACACGATGCCGAAGAGAAATCATTAATAGGATTAATATGAGTAAAACTTTGTCACTTAGCTGACTAATGTTACCTTCAGCATTCTGATTCCAGAAATTCCATATATATATATATATATATATATATATATATATATGTGTGTGTGTGTGTGTGTGTGTGTGTGTAAAAGGAAAATAATGTATTTTTATTTATTAATCAGGAACGTTTATGTAATATACATGTGTGTATGTGTGTATGTATGTTTATGTTTTAAAATTAGGATTTATAATCCGAAAAAAGTTTTCAAAATTTTTTTGCACCAAAATTTACATGCACATGCTCCAGTTAGCGGGAAGGCCAACACCGCCGTTGCATTTCCCAACTCCCATCGATAGTGGAAATAATCGATGTTTTCATGCTTCTACGGCAGTTTTCATGTAGTTTGCAGCCATTTTGTACTGGCCAGAGTGAGAGCCAATAGCTGGCTCCCACGAATAGGCAGGGAGATTCTATTGGCCAGCCTGAGAGCCAACAGCTGACTGACACGAATGTTAACTAGCATGCTAGCATGCAAAAAAATCGATAGCTGCATTCGTCACAAGTGGGAAAAATTTAAATCTGCATGGCACTTTACTCCAATTGGCTCATTCGCTTGCTTAAGCTCAACGTTGATTCTATTCCGAAGAACTGGGTCGGGTGTGAAAAAGTATTTGTTGTTCACATTCTTTTTTCATTCGGTTTTTCCAGTTATGAATCCTTTTTGAAAGCTGATCGTTTTGTGTTAATTTTGTTTAGTTCTTTTTTCGTAACAGATTTCATGTTTAGTATAGAGCTTAGAAAAAATTCGCAGTGTGAGATAGGCAAGAAGTAAGGCATGTAGCAACATCAGCACAGCAAAGGGCACTCCTTTAAAGGCAAGGAAAGGCAAAAATATTTTAAGTCAAGTGATAGCGATTGCTGTATGAGTCGTACGATTTTTGAATCAAGCACGGGAAACGCCGGGCCATGCTGCTAGTAAATATATATAAAGCACTCATCCTTCTCAGTGTATCATTCACTTCGACGATACAACAGTATAAAAAATTGTTAATGATTTTTAATATCAGGTCATCCTATAAGTTCTGTCCGAATTTTGAATAAAGAAAACAAGTGACCAAATGGTACATTTAACTACAGATTCAATCAACAATGTATTTTCCCTGATTATCTATGACTTCCTTCCATCTATTAACAAGCTTACTAATTCCATTACTGGAAAATTCTTTTGGCTTTGATTCGAAGAACTCACAAATGTCAGTTTTAACCTCTTCCTGTGTTACAAAAGCTGTTTCTTCCAAATGATTCTGTAAGCTATGAAACAAATGGTAATCTGAAGGAGTGGCTGGGGTCCTTCCCCTTTACCAAGGCACTGTCTACGACGCTTAACATTTCGATAAAAGATCCATTTTTCGTCGCCAGTCAAAAGTCTATCCAAAAAGGGTGAAACAAGTTGGTGAGAATGGAGAGAAGAGCAGATGTCAACTCGGGATTTGAGATTGTTTTCAGACAATTCATGAGGCACCCATTTTCCAAGTTTAGGAACTTTTCCAAGTTGTTGAAGATGACGATGAACAGTTGTATGGTTTGAACTGAGAACCACTGCCAATTCATCAACTGATAAAGCAGGATTTTCTTCAAGGGCTGCTTCAAGAAGCTTTTCATCAAACTCAACTGGACATCCGGTTCGATCTTCATCTTCAAGGGTGAAATCTCCACCTCTCAATTTTGCAAACCATCTTCTGCAAGTTCTTTCATTCACACATTACTCTCCATAAAATGAGTGAATGTTTCTAGCCGCTTCGGCTGCTGAGTTTCCTTTCTTGAAATCATAAAGCATTATCTGCCTCAAGTGATTCTTGGGGACTTCCATGTTAGCAGGGTTTTAATCAAACAAAATTTAATTCTATTGTTCTTTGAAATAAAATTTGATCAGTTTAAATGCATCTAAACATAAAAATAATGTTCAGCTCCATTAGACATTATAAAATACTCTTTAAATTTCGTTCATTTTAACAAAAAGTTAAAATTCGGACAGAACTTATGAGATGATCTGATAAAAATTATATTATGTATGGGTGACAAGACTTTCGGTCCACCATATTTTTACATTTTTGAAGATCAAAGTTAACATGGGAGGAAGAAGCCGGAAGGGAGTTCTACAAATGGGAAGTGCGAGGGAAGAAACTGTTAGCATAGAACTTCCGGTCATTTTAACTACAAAATGATGGGATGACCTGATTCATAACTAGGACACTGGGTATTTCGAGGTAGCGTAATGGTTTGTAAGCTTGTCTCACTAGATTAATTACAACTGAGTACTGAGTTTGATTCTCACTGGGTACCCATATTTTCGGCATTGTGTCACTTCTAAGTTACGCTTAGAAAATCGTCATCACAAATTCACTGCTCACTGTTTTTAACCCTAAATCTAACTCCTCTCCTTAACCCAAAGCTCTAACCCTCAACCTAACTTTAGGTCTTTTCATATTTCCAAAATATACCATCGTAAAAATAAAAATAAAAAAATGAACGGTAGATATCATATTATAGTCGTACCGATTTTGTAATTCTGTGTTCCTCAAACTTCCATGGCTGGTTAGTTAGTTAACACGTACTTTACGTCCTGCCAATAAATAAATGGTCTATTCACTTTGAATCGCGAGGAAAAACGAAAAAAAATATCAGAGACCCTGTTTGGTTTCAGTAAGAAAAAGAAAGAAATATAGTTTAGGCGGTAGCACTCTCAAGTTTTTAACCTATAGTTCAGTTTTTTTTTTTTAGCATTTCACCCCAAGCAAGACGGATTACCAGTAGCACGCAAGGGTTTACAGAGGGTGAGGGCAAGAGTAAAGAGGGGGTGTTTGAGGAAAGGATAAAAAAGAACGGGGATCAAGATCAAGATAGAAGATGTCGATTGACATTACATTTGAATAGTTAAAGATTATAGTTATCAGTTAAGCAAGTAAGCGGAAGAGAGTTCCACTGTCGGGAAGTGCGAGAGAAAATGCTGTTGAAGAGGCGCTTACATTTAACTGTTTCTACAGTGAAAGGCTGGGACCGAGATGCCAACCTAGTAGCACGCTTAAATTCATGCAGTTGGGGCATCAGTGAAAATAGCACGTCGGAGCAGTCACCATGAAAATATTAATAGAAAAGACAGAGGGAAGCCGTATCACGTCTGTGAGAAAGTGACTATAGATGAGATGCTAGATTAGGACCTATCACGTTGCATATCCGTCTTTGGATGTTGTCGTGAACCTCGAGATGAACAGACCATATATAGCAACAGTATTCCATGCAAGGACGAATGGTAGATTTGTAGTTTTGAACGATGAACTTAGACAAGTAAAACCCTTCTGGCGCGACACAGAATCAATTTTCTTGCGGTAGATGAAGCTATTGATCCAATGTAGTTGTTCTTCCTCGGGTCAGTGGGAAAAAAAAACGTGACACCAAAAAGACACAGAGAGACGCTCTCGTTAAGTTGAGCATCAGTCATGTTGATAGGAGGCAGGAAGGTTTGTCTATGGTGGGTAAATGAGTGCAATTTCGTTTTGGAGGCATTAAAGTTTACTAGCCATTTCCTGCGCCAGTCAACCATAGATTAGAGGTATCTTGTTTCCGTTTGTACCATCTTACTTCGTTAAATAATGACCCACTTACATATTCATGATAGTTCCTGGAATATTTAAAGTTGTTAAAGACAACTATTTAACGATCCAGGGGAAGTTCCTCTCCATAAGCTTATTAAATCATTAACTTAAGACTTGTCCGTTCAGGATAATGGCTCTCCACAATTTGCTCTCCTTTTAGTAAATTTTGTCTTTTGGTTATATCTCCTAAAACCTGTTATACCATCCATTTATTCAAGCTCGCTAGGTAGGTAACGCGTTGTTTTCCTCTGTCACTCTTGACTTTAATCAGTCCTGCTGTGTGTATCAAATTTTCCAAGCCATCTTTCCTCATTATGTGCACTAGAAATTTCGACTCTCTCTTCCTGATATTAAGTATAGGCTTCCTTTTTCTTTCCAATTTTGTCGTAGCTCACCTGTATGGATTATGGTATTCTCAGTATCCTTCTGTAGAACCACATTCCTGTTGCTTGAAGCCTCTTCTTCATCTTTGATTATATTGTCCAGCATTCACCGCCGCACACACACACACACACACACACACACACACACACACACACACACACACACACATATATATATATATATATATATATATATATATATATATATATATATATATATATATATATATATATATATATATATATATATATATATATATATATATATATATATATATATATATATATATATATATATATATATATATATATATATATATATATATATATATATATATATATATATATATATATATATATATATATAATATGGAGGAGGTACAGTGGAGTAATGGATAGCGGCTTGGATTGAGGAATCGGTGAGCCGAGTTCGAATTCCAATCGAATCCATTAAATTCACTTATGTGCTAAAGGTGTGAATCCTCTTCTTCTCCCTCCAGGTATGGGTAAATAGCAGGACAGACTGGGTTCTATAGCCTTAGAATGGCAACTGGTCTAGGAGAAGGACAACTTTGAATTCAAAACCTGAGGTGTGTCGTTTGGGGACCTTGTGGCCAGTTGTCCACCAGGTCACTATATTCGGCCCTTCAAAAAGTGTGGATGGTCCTGCACGTAACCTTCACCACTATAATCAAATCTCATGTACTATTGTCGGGCCGTTGGTTACCTAGGAATTGATCTGCTTGGCCCTCAAACATCGAATTCGACGGGAGAGTCGAGTATATCTTATAACAGTTCAGCACTCTTTGTTTCTAACGAAATTTGCCAGCTTCTTAATATCTGTTGCACTTTCCGACCTCCATTAAAACATTTCCTAAATCTTTCTTTAAATCTTTGTAATTGTTTGATTTTTGTATCTCCAATTTGTAATTTACATGTAATTTGTGCATTGGGGGTGTTACTTTAGCTAAGGATCATAAATTCTGTCTTCTTACAATAGTCCATTCTTCACGCTTTCCTTTATTCTTTCTGTAGGAGTTTTTTTTTTTATAATTTCCTTTCTATGTCGACTATCAAAACTGTTTTTATCTAAATATGTCGTTAATATTGTGGACGTCTGTACTGAATCCTGGCAACAGATCAAATTCTCCTAAAATCGACTCAGGGTAAAGTTTGAATAAATTTCGGTGCGAAGACACAATCTTGTGAAATCGGAAAGCTGTGAAAATTTCACGGGTATTTTTTCGTCAGTAATAAATGCAGGAGTCTGAGGAATTAAACAGTTGCTATTATGGTAGCTGGTTTAGAATTGGAACCATTCGGCTATCACCAGATATTATTATTATGTTTACTATGTAAATATTCTTTGAAGATGCGCTAGGCTTTTGGTTAGTATTTATTTGTGAATTGGCTAGTGTTTGTGTAAGAGAAAGCAGCTCGTATCTCCAACAGATGGGACTACAATCATTTTGTGTTTCTGTGGGCAAGTTACGCTTGACATGGAGACAGTTACACACACACACACACACACACACACACACACACACACACATATATATATATATATATATATATATGAACGTGTTATGTTATAATTGCCTGAACGCACACACACATATAATAAATATATGTGAGTATATATGTAGGCATTCGTTTATCACATAAGGTAGCGCGCTGTACGGTCAAAATTCAGTCCGTTGGTGGTTTAGAGTCGAGTGATCTCTCCGGTGTACAATGGTATATTGAGGCTGTGCCTTTGCAGATTACATGGTCACTCTCTCGGACTTTGTCCATTTCGTTATATATATATATATATATATATATATATATATATATATATATATGTGTGTGTGTGTGTATTTATATAACGTTATATAATATAAACTTAACTAGCCAGGCAAACCTACCTAGGTTTCACCTAAACTGATCGTCGGAAATAACGTTATATATATATATAGAAACAAGAGCTAATAGAATACAGAGCATTATAGTTCGTATCGGTTTTACTGCATTAGTTACCGGAAAGAAAAGACGTAATTACACATTTATCTAAATTAAAACCATCAGATACACAACTGGAAGCTCTTGTGACTGGTTTGCCAAAAAAAAAAAAAAAAAATCAAATAAAACCGGATAAGCGTCTGGTTAGCAAAGTCCGTATGAGAAGACATGTCCGGAGAACGCATATTTGCTACGAAATTTCTCAAACATTCACGCCGGTAAATGTAATTAATACTGTTTAATTAAAAACAGAACATTTACTTAAATAAATTGTATCTATAGAAATAACCCATAAACAAAAAAATATATTAAACAATTGTCGGATTTAATCAGTTTCATATGCTGTCATTGTTTACGTTAAGATACGTTTCGTAGGTAGAAATGATTGATCGGGAAAACTGCCCGAAGATTGTGTGTTTATAAACATATATATATATATATATATATATATATATATATATATATATATATAAAAGACATTTTTTATGTTTATACGTTCTAAAATATATAAACAAAGACATTTTTTATGTTTATACATATATATGTATATATAAAGACATTTTTGTGTTCATACGTTCTTTTTATAGATAGAAATATTTAAGTAAATACTCTGTTTACAATAAACTGTATATATATATATATATATATATATATATATATATATATATATATATATTATTATTAAAACAGTACACGATGTTATATAACAGAACTATAAAGTATATATGTTAATGAATGAATCCTACAGGATTGATTCTTTAAAATATATACGAACCTGTATATATTAAAATTTAATCAAAATATACGGAATTCGTCATTTGATCCGACGTGTTGTACCACTGAGCTACAGATAAGCATTTGGTGAGCAATGTCCTTACAGGAATACACGTCCGCAGAACGAATATTTTCTACGAGATTTCTTGGACATTCACACAGGTAAATGTAATTAATACTGTTTAATTAAAAACAAGGAAGTGTATTTAATTAAATATATTGTATCTACAGAAAATCGCCTAAAGAGAAAATATATTAAATAATTGTCGGACTTAATCCATTTTATGATATGTTGTCATTGTTTACGTTAAGATACGTTTCGTAAGTAGAAATCGTTGAGAAAAATCCCCTAGGATTGTATGTTTATAAACACACACACACACACACACACACACACACACACACACACACACACACACATATATATATATATATATATATATATTCGTGGGTGTGTGTGTGTTTAATATATGTGTGTATCATATATATATATATATATATATATATATATATATGTGTGTGTGTTTTTGATATATGTGTGTGTAATATATATATATATATATATATATATGTTTGTGTGTGTGTTTTAATATATGTGTGTATAATATATATATATATATATATATATATGTGTGTGTGTGTGTGTAATATGAGTGTATAATATATATATATATATATATATATATATATATATATAT